AAGATCGAGAGAAAGGGGGAAAAAACACTTGATTGTAGAGGAGACGAGAAGTCAGCAGGAGAAGGGTTCTGATACCGAGCAGGTGTGTGTGTGTGTCTAAGTGTGCCGGTAGACCACGGAGCGAATGCGAATACGAGAGTGAGAGGGCACGCTTCATTCATGCCCATTCATACACACATTTGAATAATCAGTCTCTCGCTGCACTTCGGGAGTGGCTGTCCTGGAATGCGACTGTCGTAACTCCCTTCCCGTCACTGAGCTGTGGTTTTCCTGCACTGGCGGCAAGAACACGCCGTCTGCCAAAACTCTCGAAATAACCCCTGATAAAACGCCTCCACATTTAACAGGAAACTCAGAGGGGGAAATCAAATGCATGACTACATGGGAAATGCTCATGATATGGGCTTTCTTGTGCTTACTCTGAAAAATGAAAGTGCCAACGATTTCATCAAGTAGCCTATAGGCTAAATCTGACAATGTAAAATGTGCAGTGAAAAATATTATAACAGGGCTGTTATTAAACATTAATTTAGTGCAAATAATCCGATAAAACAAATTTCACCATACATTAATTTCCATCTGGTGCGTGTGTTTAAACAAAAAAATAGTGCAGACGAAATACAAAAATGCTTCTTGTGTAGGCCTATAGGGTCTACCTCGATAGATGAACTCAATTATCAAATGGATTTCTGTTCTTTTCTAATGCTTTCATCCGCCATATTAAATTATGAGCGTGATCTTCATTTTGGAGATTTCTCATCAAATATTGATTATTTGTGTTTTACTTAATTTATTCATCAGCGTACCATGTAAAAATCAATTGAAATCTTTAAAATTGAGTCTCATTAAAGGCATTTAGTCACTTGTTTACAGTTTTAGGGTATACGTTTACACGACAACAATGTACTAAAAATGGAAACGTTTTTCACAACGTTGTCAAAACGATCCCCGTTCACACGGATCCGCAAAAAAAAAACTATTAAAAACTGTTTTATGCATGCCAGACCAGTAGTTACAGTGTTTGTAAAGAAAAACTACACGCCTATAGACATAACACATTATACGCATATGCATTACCATTTTCACAAATTTGCATTTTTGTAGTTCACATGGAGACAATAACGGTATCGTTTTTTCAAAAACTTGTACTTTGAAACCCGTTTTCAAACGTTTGCGTTTTCAGGCCCCCAAAACGCAGTTACGCGGCTATAAAACGGATAAAAAGTTTTTAGTGTGTCGTGTAAACGGCCCCTCAACCTATTTTGTCCCTAATCCATCTAATCATTCATCGCCACTCCTGACAATTACGTCCAGACATTTTTATCAGTATAAAGTAATCATGATAGCTCATGAAGCCAACTCAACACCTGGACTTACACTTTGAACCTACAGTTCAGCAAACTCAAACCTTGTTTACCAAGCTGCCAAACTCTTTTGAACCCTTTGAACAAGATCTCAGACAAGCGTAACACAATTTTCTTCACCACAGAGTATTAAAAGATGATGTGTTTGGACCTGAGACAGCTTGACAGAACATAATGGCTAGGTACATTTTACGCTTAATTATTGACTGTGTGTCTGAGCGAGGGACACAGCACATCCTGTCTTTCTGTGTCTTCCTGTCGCTGACTGAAAGCACCAGACAGACACGCACTCACAAACACTTCTATATACACACAAGCATGTATATGTCGAGGGAGGTTGAGCAACTACACAGTCTGTGACCTTCCCTCAGCAAGCAGCAGAGAAAAAGGAAGTTCCTTCACCCCACCCAGAGACAGAGAGAGTGAGAGAGAGACTGCCAGACTACTTTTCACAGATGAGGAACAGTAAGATCTGTAAATAACTCAGCAGAAAAGCTCTGTCACAATCGCACAGACAGCAACAGAAACACAGTATACAAACATACAGACTGTTACATCTACATTACTCGCATTTGGAATGCCTGTTACGCAAGTTTGCAAACACATAAATTAATATAAATGTGCACATATAACCGTTTTCAACACTGATAATAATTAAGAGCACCAAATCATTATATTAGATTGATTTCTGACGGATCATGTGACACTGAAGACTGGAGTAAGGATGCTGAAAATTGCCATCACAAGAATAAATTACATTTTAAAATATATTCAAATAGACCACGATTATTTTAAATAGTAATACTATTTCACAATATTACTGTTTTTACTGTTTTGACTTTTCAATCATCATTTGAAATCGAGCTTGATTAGCTCAAAGCATTTGCCTCAAGCACGTTTCAAGCCTCAGTCTTATTCTACAAACATCTGAGTGGCAAATTAAATTGTGTGGAAGCCATTATGAAGTCATCAATATCAAATCGCAGACTCTTCCTGGCAAAGGAGTGACCAGGCGGTCGGGCACATGTAAAAATACACCGAATCTCCCTCTCTCTAGATGGATATAATGATATATTCCACTTCCGTTTCCAGACGGTTGGAGAGTGTTCCCTCTTGTGTGTGGTGAGAGGAAGGAAAGCTCTTGAGATGAATAAAAGCCTGCTGTGGGGGGTCTGATAATGTGATAATGCAGAGAGCTCCGGGACATTTTGGGCTCACTCGAGACGGAGGGAAACAGCTCGATGTTAACAAAGCAACGTCATTCACCGTAAGGGACAATTCAATCTGCAAAGCACTTATGACACACATCGTCCGTGCAAAAAGAGACAGAAAACGGCAAATGTGTGTAAACACGCTGGAGAGCAGGCCTCAGTTTACATTCTCTCGCTCTATACAGGGAAAGTAAGCTGGAGGTGGTGGAGGGCTGATCAGAGAGAGATGGGAGGGAGGAGATGTTGGTGAATGCACTTCTTTGTTGGTTCATACTCCGTTTCCACCACAATACTCCAATCCCTGCATCATCAGCTCCATTCAAGGGAAACAGTTCATGCAAATGACCAGGCCTGCCATTCATTGAGTGTTTGTGTGTTGTGTGTATTGGAGGGGGGCACATTACTAAAAATCTTTTCCTCTAATCCTCTACCTCACAAACAGGACCGTGTCTGCAATAAGAGTCAAGCTTTAGAGCCCCAGGGGTAAGGTGAGCCACCACACATGCGAGTAACCCGAGACTGGAGACAACCCAAAGCAGATAAACATAAAACAATCAGCCCGAGACTGCTTTTATCGCATTATTCATTCCAAAAAATACCCAGAAATGAACTTTACGATGCATATTTAAGCAGCAATCTTGGTTGGAGTGCAGCTCAGAAAGCATGTTTTTTCCCTCAGCAGCCCCGTGATTAAACCCTCAATGGCCTGATCATTAAAAACACATCCACTGTCAAGTACCTGTGATAGCTAAACGGCCCATTTCAGAATTACCATAACATGACGCCATTGCCGTGGGACATGTGGAAGTCATGCTGAGCTCAAGAGAGACAGATGGAGGAATGAGATGATAAAAAACAAGCACTAGACAGAGAGAGAGAAATGAAGACTACAAGCGCCCTGGCCTTTAATGGCTCTAAATGATTGTTTGTTTACGCAATCAGCACTGTATCTACAGTAAAGGTTAACGGGACAGAGGTTGTGACACTGAGGGTTAGTTACTGGTCAATTAAATTCAGCAAAGCCCAAAAAGCAACCAAGAAATGCTCTCTGTGAGAGATTGCATTTTTTGCATCGGTCTGCTCAAGTTAAATATTTCATGCCATTAAATTTAGGCCACTGCGACGGCTATTCTATCTTGACGTCCGCCCACAGATTCCACATCTCACCCCCCTCCCGGATATCAGGTTGTAACATTTGGACTGGGAAACCAATATCATGATAGTCTCTGGAGTCTGGAGACTGGGTCACCAAAGAACTGACACTCTTGGCCCCTTTCCAAGCACTCATCTAAGGAGGGAAGCTGACACTACTTGGAATATGCCAACGTAAAACTTAAGACATACAAATTTCACCCTGGTGGTGTGGCTTAGCGGTTAAAACATCTAGTCTGCCAACTTTAAGATTGTTGCTTTGAATACCAGCAGAGGTGATTCATGAACATCGCCACAGTGCCCCATCACACTTAACCTCAGGTTGTGCCAAGAGGAATGTCCCTATAAGAAGTGCACTGTACGTCTGCCAAATAACTACTTACTGTTGAGTCTGAAGTTTGTGTCACCAAAGAACTGACACTATTGGCCTTTCTCCAAGCATTCATCTGAAGACGACGGTGGTAAGCCATTAAAACAACATCTGTTTTTTTATGTTTCTAATATTTATTTTTGAATTACTAACAAATAATCCAAAAGTGACCAAAAAGTTTCAATTTCACTAATTACATCAATTGTTTTTACATGCAAGATGCAATGACTAGTCAGAATGACTGTTTTTATAGTATACAATATAAGTTCAATATAATTGCAAGTAAGATCAAATATTTATAGTTGCAACTTGGAATGCAATAGTGTCTAATAAAGTAGTATGATCCAATTAGTTCAAGGAAAACCGTCACAGATAGCTAATAGTAGCCTAACTATTTCTAGTAAGCCAGATTGAATATTAAAACATGATATAAAATAGTTACTAGTAAAACAGAAATAGGTGGAAAACATACTAGTTGGAAGTGAACAGTTGAAGCACTGAAGCAAACATTTGGGTTACACTTTATTTGAAGGTGTCTTTGTTACACTGTAATTATACATTTAAATATTGAGTAATATTAATAACTACATGTACTTACTATAGGGTTAGGATTAGGGTTTGGTTTGGTTTAGTTGCATGTAATTATGCACAATTTTATAGTTATTACTATAGTAACTACATGTAACATATGTAACAATGACACTGTGAAATAAAGTCTTGCCAATATTTGCCTCTACCAAGATAGGAGCAGCAAAGGAATAAGTAGTTTGCAATGAATTACTTGATACCTGGGAGTCTGGACTCTGGACTAATTTAATAATTTAATAAAGACACCACTAGTCACTATCTACTGGAATAAGTAGCCTATCTAATGAAGTTATTCGTGAAATTGGAAAAGATGGTAGTCTCAATTGGCTTTCAAATAGTAGTCAAACAAGCAGCAAAATAGGCACTAGTTAGTTTAAAAGGATGAAACGGCTTGTCATAGACGTCTGACACATGCAGTCCAGCACTACAACAAAACTTAATCAGTTCTCCCTGCACTAGAGCAGAGGATGCAGCGTAAAATGCAACAAACTGGCTCACCCGTGATGCTTTCCGCTTGTATTTATTGGCGAAGTCAAATTTCTCCTTAATGTCATCCAGGAGCTGCTCCAGACGCGCTTTCTCCTCTTTCCCCGTGTAATCCGGGCTCAGGAGCACATACGCCCTCCAATTTGCCGAGTCAAAGCCCCAATGGCAAGTCCTGTTCTCCAGCGATTTGTGACTGTGCACCACGAATTTCTGGGTCGGGTACATGAGCCTGCAGTCCATGCATTGTATGCAGGGCGCGTTGGGATTCGTGTAGAGCTCCGGGACCAGAAGACCCCTACACTTCCCGAAGCACTCGTGATAGATTTTGAAGCTCTTTTCGGTAAGTTCCAGCTCAATGGAGCCGTACAGCTCCTTCTTGGAGTGCGGCGGGTACGTGCCCCCGTAGATGAGCGCGTTACACAGGCGCTCCGAGTCCGTCTTGGTGATGAGCCCGCAGGACGGCGCGGAGAACGGCAGGATCCCCATCACCTTCAGGATCTCCAGCTGGTCGGCGGTGCAACGCGAGCAGTAAATGTGCAGATCGTCGCACACCGAGTTGATCTGCTGGAGCGAGAAATCCCGCAGCACTGTGTTGAGGATCTGCGGCAGGCACAGGCGCTTCTCGCCGCCCACCACGAAGCACGAGATGGTCTCGCCCTCCAGGACCGTCTCGCACCTCTCCGTGGAGCGGTCGGACGGGATGAAGAGCGGCCCGGGCATCACCGGAGGAGGCTGCATGGGGGGGAGATGCAGCACGGGCTCCGGGACGTCTTTGCCATCCTTTTTGAAGAGCAGATCGTGTTGCCATCTGGCCGAGAAAGCGGCCGGTCCTCCGAGAGAGCTCATGGAGCTCAGGTGAAACTGTTTGAGAGTTTGTTGCAGTCCCGGGTGAGGCTGGAAACTCTGTCGCGTTATTGTTTCCATGTTTCGCGCACAGCGTTGTCGTTAAAACCGAGTGTGTGACGAGAAATACGACTCAAAGGTCCTGGTACCGCGTCTCTAAATCCAAGTCTGTGAAAAAAAGCACAAGAAGGCCGACAGGGCTTCATGAAATCCCCACTCAGACGAAGGTTTGCACCGGCGTGTCTTCTTCCCCTGCAGCGGGCTCTCTCCTGTCCATATCAACAGACAGACGCGTACAAAAAACTCAAGTGTAACACAAGCAAAAGCGCGCAAGTTGTAGAAAAACTATCCCACGGGGGAGCCGAACTTGTCCCACGTCAAATTCAGGAGTCAAATACACAATCCACGAACTTTAAATCCGTATTTTCCCCTGCGAGTAGAGATCGCTGCAGCCGGACACGGCGCGTCGCCTCCGCTCCTCTGCCCCTGCAGTTCAGTGTGACTGAGTCAGTGTCAGTGAGCACAGCGTCTCTCTCTCTCTCTCTCTCTCTCTCTCCCTCTCTCTCTCTCCCTCTCTCGGTGTTTGTGTGTGTCTGGCTCAGTCATTGAATCCCAGCCAAGAATGTGACTGACTCCGCAGGCTGTGGCTCTTCCAAGAACCAGCCTTCACTCCCCACTGCTGTAGAGAGAGAGAGACAGTCACTGACTGTACATATATCTATTTATAATAGAGATATTTATTATTATTAATATTTATATTTATAAATACAAAACGTTTTTACCTTTTTATTATTATCTTATTTTTGTTGATTTATTACCTTATTTTTTATTTAGTTATTTTAAATCGAATTCATTATATCCAATTAATTATACTGTTAATGACGAAATATTAGGCTATTTCTTAAATATATTAGACAGCTTTATTTGTCATCATTTACAATATTGTCAAAGTGTAAACAGTACTTAAAATATTAAAATAGACATTAGACATGAAAAATAAATAGGGTGAGGTAAATAAATAAAAGGGAATAATAAAAGAAAGGGTATTTTTAAATATTTTAAATATTTATTAAATTAGCCTACTAGTGTGCCACATTTGTTCTATTGTTAGTGTACTTTTGATTTTTTTGCACTTTGCTACTTGAATAACATAATGCAAATGGCCTATATGTTTTTCCATAAACATTCAATTGAAAATTAAGATTCATCATTATGGTATGTAAGCATCTTTGTTTCCATCAGTCATCTGTTATTTCAAATGTACGCATTTCATTTGAAAAAAAAATGAGTTTGAGTAAATAAAAAACAAAATTCAAAGTGTATCTGTCACGGGTTCTGGACTCATCTTTCATCTTTACTTTCACTTTCATGGACTTTCAGTCAGTTTTCATTCATCACATGTGTTCCTTTGTTTGATTTTCCCGCCACTCATCAGTAACCATGGACACTAATCATCATCACAGCTGCTCATCATTCAGTTCATCACCATCATGTATTTAACTTCCTCCCTGTGCACCCCAAGTTGATGTTTGTGCATTAACCTTTGTTTCATTATTATTATACATTTTATTTATAGGCACCTTACATGACACTCAAGGACACCTTACAAACACAATAAACAAATACTCATTATGACATCCTGGATACCAGTATTAAAATGTAAAAGTAATCAAATAAAATTCATGCACGCTCTGTAACACTTTCTGTCAGTTCCAGAGTTTATTGTAAATCACTTCGTATTGGATCATGTGTGTAGGCTACCTTCGTCTTCCTCCGTCTTCATCCTGTGACAGTATCATTGCAGGTTGTCACTGTGGCACTGCACTTTTAAATTAAGGCTGCAATTAAACCTCAAACAGTTAGTAAAACTGCACATTTGCACACTGAACATTGTAAATGAACGTCTCGGGCAGGAGGAAATAAGAGCATTTTTTGTGGGTTGATGGGTGGAGTCTGAAACAGACGCTCTAATTTAGACTGACTGCGGTCTGAGTTTGTAAGCTTTGGTTTTCCTGAGACTTCTAGACTGAGATGGGCACAGCAGACTACATGACTAACAAACAAACATTTGTATGATATGACAAATTAATTTGAAAATTTTGCCATTAATATCAAACAATCAGGTCAAGCACATCAAGCAATAATAATATAACCCTGCATCATCATTCTCCTCATAATCATCATGTGTATATTGTAAATGGATGTTCAGTATAACATCACAGGTTTATACACACAGACATCTAGCACTTCCTTTCTAATGATGTGACCTATTTAAATTAATATCTTGCTGTTTAAATCCGTATATGTATGGATGTTATGTCTGTATGTAGATGGGACTCATTTCATTCACATTTCCTCTAACACTACAGTGCTGTACATATGCCAGTGGTTTATTAATAATTCTCTTCAGATCGAGTCCAACAGAGGTCAATGTAATTTGTTGCAGTAGCTCCCTCTAGCTCCAAGGTGATGTTACTGCAGGTGGAATACAATGGGACAAATGGCCTTTATGCATTCAATCAATTCACCAAACTGCCAACCATTTGCAAAATTAGGGGAACAAATAGAATCTCTGAAATATAAGATATTAATGCACAGATCATATACATTTAAAATAGTAAAATAATGTAAAATGGAGAAACAGAACATTTGATCTCGCATGGCTTGCTAAGAAAACATCTAGTTTCAATTAAAACGGAATAATGTGTATAAATCCCTTTTATCTGTATTGACTATATGAGGATATCGTGCTACCAGTTCTTCATTCGGATAGCTTTAGTTTTTCCACGGAAGTCTATATGTGATCTGGTCTTACAGCTTCGTGATAATGTGATGAGAGAAGGGAATTCTTTTTAACAGCCTTAGATTCCTTCTTTCGAAAGTTTTATTTGGATTTGCGTCATGGATTTTGGAAAAGCCCAGCGAGTTTGACCAAAATATGATCATTAGCCCTCTGCTGTCTCTCACATTTTTGCACATATATGGAAAAATATTCAAATGGGTGGTGTGAACGAACTGCTGACCCAAACTCTTTTTGGATGAGTTTTTTTTAAGGCCTGTTTCAAATTGCCAAATATTACTCATCCATCATAATGGATGTGCAATCAAAAAAATGAATAACAATAAACAAACTTTTTTTCATCGCATTAAGGCTACTCGCATTAGATGTTTTAGTATTTCTGTCCTTGAATTTCCTTTGTTGGCTACCAACACTAAATAGACTAGTTAGAGTCACATACAAGCTTTATTTAGACAGCTGTAAAAGCATATGAATGGCAAAAAAAAAAAAATCCATTTCGTGACTATAACAATAGGTTTGTATGCCAGATCCCTAAAACGCAAATGCATTGGGATTGGTTGTCTTTTGTGTAGGCGTCGTGACATGTCTGCAATAATTACATTGCAGAAGAGTCCATTACCTATTGAAATTTATGCAGTGACAATTTAAATGGCAGACGCATTACGGATATTTGTTTTTTATGTGTGAGAATCAATGAATCAGACTTGCTAATTCATTTATTTAATCTATTTACTTCAAAAAGGTGGACAAAAATGGATCAAAGAGGTGTGAATAATAATATTTGATCAGGTGGGTTGCCATTAAAAGGTTATGAACTGCACGGTTTAAGAGAGATTTGGTGTGTGTGTGTGTGGTTGACGTTGACAGCCAGATGTCTCTGCCCAAGCTACAGCACCACCACCCTCTTAACAAACAGCATCAACATATATCTGGTAGGCTCAGATAAGAAGAGACTAAAGATAAATGCTGCATTACTGCATTCATTCAGCTTTTAAGACCCAGAATGATATGCAGTGAAACATGCTGATGTTTTGTAAACACACGGATTAGTGGTGGGCATAAGTCTCTTTTTCTCAGCACTGCCAGTGCAACCTGTGCCAGCTGTCTGACAAGTGGAACCCGTCAGAGCCGTGACCTTTCTGAGAAAGGGCAGACCTGCAGCTTAATCATTCTGGAGAGAGGCCGTGCCCACATCTCTCCCTGAGGAGACGCCACTCCTCCGGTTACATACTGGCAGCTTGGCAGGCGCAGAGCTGTGGTAACAGATACTGGCTGAGAAGATTTCTGTCAGACTCATTTTGTGAACCGTGTCTTAAAGGTGATGTCTGTAGTTTTGGTAAAAGTTACAAAATACTTCCTACTAACTTAGCTTAATATGCAACTTTAGGTAAGCCAATTGCAGGTTGATTTCCCCTTAAAGTCCCCGTGAACCGGAAGTTGCAAACGACTTTTCTCCAGTGTTGTGACGTATTTGCGAGAGAAACGGAATACTAAATGACGCAAAATAGTGGGCGTGGCTTTTTTCCAACTAGCACCTGATTGGATCTAGAAAAGTAGGTGTTTTCATTCAGCCTGTCTACTGTCAGTTGGAGGGGCGTGGTTACGGATGTTAAGCAGACACCCAAACCGTAAAGCCGACGTCATCGGGCAAGGTCCTCCAATTTGATTAAAGATTACGAAGCCCAAAATTTTTTTTGTGTGGATTGACTTGCATGGATGAATTGTTCACCACAAAACGATCAATTTAGGCAAACAAAGTAAGTATGGTCAATTTTGATTTCATGGGGACTTTAAAGTCACCTTGAAATCAAAACGAACAATTCTTTTTTCTTTTACGGAATATTGCAGTATTTGATATAAATTAATCTTTAACCAAAATAATTTCCCCTCCCTCTTAAGGTCCTTGCACACTAAGTCCAAAATTTTTGTATTCGTCATTCTGTGGCTCTGAATTGTCAAAACACCTCTCAAAATGCTTGCTACGGATGCAAAACAGGCAGAAAATCGAACCCAAATCGATTTTTTTTTAATGACGGACGAAATTTTCAGAGGCAGTGTGTAAACGTGATTGCTGTAACTACTCCAAACGCTGCAACGTGAGGTTGTATTTATTTTTTAACGTGCGGAAATTTCAGTCGAGAATTTCAGACTCAGTGTGCAAGCACCTTTAAAGGTGAACTAAGTAACTTTTTTACCTTAACCGAAAAGCTTTGGAGTCATTGTAATGTTTATATTACTGATTTCGTGTTGAATGGTGGTCGTCTCGCACCCCCCTGGTGCCTGTGAGCCGCAAAACCACCCTTGCAACTTTGGGCCGGCGGGCCTCAGTGTTAGGAAGTATCGTGTGATATCAGGTCTCGCGAGGTAACGAATTGCTTTACGCCAAAAAAACAGATCTGATAAAATTCTGATAAAATGAGCATCAAACAGAAATAACCCGGCGCCGTATACATGTGGTGTTGGGCGCGCGCAGCTCTTAAAGGGGCCATACCTTATTTCCACTCATTACAGCGTCCATCCTACTGAACAGGTACCGGTGTACAGGGGGAGGGGATCCGGCCGTGAGTGCGAGCCATCTCTGTGTGAGTGCTATTCACGACAGTACAAGTACTCCACAGCGACTCTAGGCGTCGTTGTTTGACAAAAACGGAATTCCTACTTAGTGCTGCTTTAAGCCCAATTTATACTTCTGCGTCGACCTCCCGCCGTAGCTACGT